ACAGCGTGCACACAGTTGTCAAAGAATGGAGATAGTGTCCATCTCGGATCAGAAAGGTGATTGTGATTCAGGAGCTGTTTAGCACTTGAACAGACAGAATACAGAAGCTAAGAAACCCCAGAAGCTGAACGCTTGCTAACATTAAGCTCAAAACCCCTCAGTAGTTTCACGGTCAGATAAAGTACAAACCATGCGAGATGTTTATATGAACTAAAAGCTCTTTAGAAAGTATGGAGAAAAAGCACACCTCCAAACCGGTCCTTTTCTCAACTGGGATTTTCTCCTAGCTTCTTTTTGGATGAAATTCTCCCTCCTGTGGGGAAATCATGCTTGAGAAATCATAAGGAATTTAAATTTTTTTCTCACCGGTTTCCTACTTCCATTCCTTTTTTAAATAGTTGATGGCTGGGGCGTCATATTTAAATCCTCTCTTCAGCTGACTGTGTCTGGGATGCAGTGAGTTCAGCCAGACTATGTGAAAAATGTATAGCTGTAGTATTGGCGGCCTGGTGTAGCATAACGATGTAATCCCATTCAAAATGACTGTCTACGCTTTGGGGACTTTATCCCCATCACTGTCACCGGGACACAGCATCTTGCAGTAGCTGATGAGGTTGGGCAATGACTGAGTACTTTTAGGCTTATTACCTAGGAGTTGGGTAACTCCGAGGTATTAGGATTTCAAGAGCATGTTGGTGTTTTAGAAAGAAAAGGTTCCTTGGGACATTTGTATCCTTGAACTACTGAGCCATTTCTGAGAGCACCTCTCAGGCTGCCCCCACCAGAGAGGTCACTGGGGATGCCTTTGTAGCTGCACGTCCCCGTGCCAGCATCCTCTGCCAGCTCCTGGGCCGTGGAGATTGTGCTTGTCTTCAGGCTGCATTTTTGTGTGTATTTTCTAGGTCCTGCACTTGCAGAGAAAGTAATAGCGGAAAAGTCATTCGAGTCTATACAAATTTATCACAGAAGATGTGTGTGGTGGCTACAGGCCAGAATTATTTGTGAAAAACTTGAAGATCTTCCAGGCTAGATAAACAGAAGGGTATTTCCTAAGGACAGGAAGGAAACGACTTGACTTTGTCATACCTTCACCTTCCCACAAGCTTTAACAATCTAATTGGCTTTTTTATCCAGATGGCAGGGCCGGAAATCCTGATTACCCATTGTTCCCATTCCGTGCGTTCAGCATTTGCTGTCTCCTCTCCGCCATTCAGCTCTTCCTCCTCCGGAGGAGCCAGCAGGATACAGATTATGGCATGATTATATCCTCCTCTAACCTGCATTTTAGGCAGCTATCAGTGTCAATCCAACTATTTATGCCATTGTAATCCTACGTGAAGCAAGGCACTCGAATGTGATGTCGGAGAGGATGTAACATAGCTGGAATACGTGAGTATCTGTGTATGAGAGCCGAGCCTACTTCTCACTTCATATCTCACCCCCTCTATCTGCCTGAACAATGTAAACTAGTCAAACCTGTCTTAGTTTGCAGATTTCATGCTTGATTCTTCCTGTAGCTCATCACAGACTAATCATGTCATATTTACAAGCTAATAACACATCTCAAATGATCAACCATGTGGCTGCACTGTAAGAACTTGATGGTTGCATTAGGTCAGAGCAAGGTTGCTCCAGCCCAGCACCTTGTCTCTGGCCTTGGCCAACAGCAGATACTTAGGGGTGAGATACAGGAACATAACAAGCACAACCCAGTGAGTACCCCCAACTCTGCCAGCATGAGTGTCAGGGCCGTCTTTGGGTTTGACAGCCCTGGAGAGCCTCCCCCAGCTCCCCTTCCCAGATTGTCTCACGTTTTTTTTATCTACTGATACTTTTTACATTGACACCCACTCGTGACAGTTAGTTCTACAGCTTCATTACATGGTGAACAAAAAAGTACTTTCCTTTCCTCTAAAGTTTCATTTGATGTCTCCTAATTTTGGGGTTATGAAAAATATTCAGTAATTGTCCCTTCTTCAGCATGGCATTCAACCTCATTTCACCATACCCCTTTTCTCCGTCATCTCCTTTCAAAAGTGACAAATCCTAGTCTATTTTCTCTCCTTGGATAAAAGCTGTTCCATATCTTTGATCATAATTTTTGCCCTTCTCTGTACCTTTTCTGAGATGGGGAGCAGAAAACAAGAACTGGATGCAGAATTGAAGATGTGAGTGCTCTATGGATTTATAAAGTGGTAATGAGGGTTTTTGTTCTATCCTCTGTTCCTGTCTCAGTAATTCCTATGATCCTTTCTGCTTCTTTGACTACCGCTGAGCACTCAGGCTTCAGAGCATGCTAAAATGTGGAACCTATTCTTTATTAATAGTTTCATGTCTTTTAATGAACTCTCCTAATCTGGGGGAAAAGACACAGTCCCTACCTATCCACACCTGGAACATCGCCCAGGGTGCCTGTCTAGTAGGAGTGGGAGGATATTAGTGCTCTGAGATTTCGGTGAGCTAACAGCTTGCACTTCCTCTCATTAGATGTTTTTCAGGCACTTAAACTTTAGCCCCATGCAACAGCTGTGTGGGGTAGGTAAGAATCATTAAATGAATTTCACAGACGGAGAAACTGAGACAGAGAGATTTGTCCAATTCACTTAGAAACTGTCACAAAGCCAGGAACAGACTGAGAACGAGACCAGTCTTTCCTTCCGCCGGCTGCTGCAAGTGAAACGGCTGCCCCAGGGACTGTCCTCACACGGGGCTCCATGGCCACACGATGTCTTATGTCTTTACCCCTGCAGCTTGCAGTCTTTACATGCCATGGAAAAACAAGAACCCCTACTCCGGCAAGTTGGTGGGCAAGTACACCATCCTATCCTATCCTATCCTATCCTATCCTATCCTATCCTATCCTATCCTATCCTATCCTATCCTATCCTATCCATCCCATCCCATCCCATCCCATCCCATCCCATCCATAACCATTCTTTCAAGCTGAACTACCAGTAAACTTGCCAGCAAAACAAGCCTTTAAGTACTTTTGAACCATCCTATTTTGCCTCATATTATTTCATGCTGGATCGTGTGCAGTAAATCACAGAATCATAGAATAGTTTGGGTTGGAAGGGGCCTTTAAAGGTCCCAACCCCCCTGCAATGAGCAGGGACATCTTCAACTAGACCTTTCCGCACAAATTCTCAAGGGACACATTGCCACAATAACGTTTTGGTGGCAGATGTATACAGTGACTGTGGGCCTGATTCTGGAAGATGCCTAGTGCTCTCAGGACCTCCGTGCAGCTACTTGGGATTTCACAGCACCTGGCCTTTTATTCCTAACCAGTTCCAATGAGAAGGCCTGCATGGTTCAAGGAGCATTACAAAGCCTTTCAAATAGACGTTGCTGGCTCAGATAAAACACAGGTAATGACTGGAGGTTATTACTATTGGCTATCAGGCTGTGAAATGAGTTTTGTGGAGTAAGTCAACAGCCACCCTTATCACAAATTGTTCTTGCTCACAGACAGTCTCTTAACCAACCTCAGCAGTGAATGCAGCAGCTAAATGGGCACGGATACTGAGATACGCCCTCAGTCGTTCTCCTGCAAGCGCAAAACACGCATTGGCAGGGAAACTTCTGAAAACTTGTCCTGAAAAAGATGCTGCTACACTTCTCTTATGGGGAAGGAGCTTAACACTGTCAGCTTGCACTCTGGGGATTTATCCGCGATAGTGCCAGATGACAGAAAAATGTCCCTGCCAACGTATGTTGCCTTGACATACCTGACTACCTAAAACTGGGCAATGACTCTGTGAGCTCAACAGTTGTAAAAAGAGCACAGTGAAGAAGAAAGAAAATGCTTTTAATGTGGAGAAGAGTAATCTCTCTTGAGAGTTCTTCATTTCTTAGGTAGCTCTGGAACAAGACATGGGTGCAGACCCTGCCCCACATGGTGCAAGTTTTCCCTGCGGACCTTGCAGCAATGCAATCCCTTTAACTAAAATACCAAGAGCACTGCGTTATATTTTGGCAGGCTGCGAGAACGACTGGTGAATGCAGACTGACATGGTCCATGCAAGGGGTTAACTGGAGTAAGCTTGTGGAACATGCCAGATACATACTGAAGCACCCATAAAACCTCTCTCAGTGTGGGAATGATCCACAGGAATCCCATCCGCTACAGCAAATGGGTCCCTCAGATGGGTAGAGGGGTCCTGGTTTGTTCTCTCTGCTGCTCTCTGTCCCAGAGCTCCATTATAAAAGCCTTGATAATACCACTATTGCACAAAGTGCAAAACCAAGGGAAAAAGACTCCAGCTACTCATGCTATTTGTAGATAAATTAAACAAACCCAGAAAAGGTTGAGACAGAAAACTGGATTTTCCAGGGAGAACACTAGAGCCAATTTACAGTTAATTACTGTGATTTGGAACAGCTCTGTGAGTAAATACCAGTCTCTGATTGTCCAAGTAAGGAAGATAATTGTTTCCTGAACTCTGTCCATTGTGTATTTAAAATATTGTCAGCCTGTTCCTTTCTCAAACTCAGAAGAGATTTGGTCTTCAGCAATGTGAATCTGTTACTCTCCTGTTAACAAGTAGCTAAAAACCTAATGCTGAGCATCATACCTGCCATGAATGCCATTTATTGAGCTCCACAGCCACATTTATAAAGCAAACTCTCCTAATGACAGGGCTGCCGGATGATGCATGAGTTTGCAGCTGCAAAGCAGTCCTGCCATCCCTGGTGAATCAGCTTTGAGGGTAAGGAGGGCACCACCAGCCCAAAGGTGTGCCAAGCATCGCACTGCTGCTGAAGGGTATAGATGAGGATGGGCAGCAAGAGAGAAGGCACATCATGGAAACCCCCCAAACTGCATTTTCTATTTCTTTTTTCTCTTCAGAGCAACTAGAGGGAAAATGTTTTTACAGAGATTGTACCAACATTTGAAAAATGGGTATTGGTACCTTCATTGAAAGGCAGACCAAAAGCTCAACGGGTACCAAGACGGTCTCTTACGAAGCTCAAGTATTACTGAGATATTGGCTCACCTGAGTCCAGAGCAGGTACTGAGACTGACCGAGGAGTCGGGGTACCCCCGCACATTGCCGTGGTAATAGCAGTGACCCTGATTGCAAAAAAGAGAAAACACTTCAGTAATCATAAAAGCTCTTCGCTCGCTTGTTTTCTCATGGATTTCAAAGCTGTTTTCAATTTATTTCAGAAGCACATTGACAGCACCTTTCCTGCCCCACTAAATACTCACTGTACTTAACAGTCCAGAAGGTTCCTAAATGGATGGCCTGGGTGTTTTTAAATCCCAGAGGTTGGAGTGGTGGGTTTGTTGTTGTTGTTGTTGTTGTTTTGTGATTTATTTTTTTTTTTAAAGAGGGTCAGCGGTATTTAAATTGCATGTCTGACAACCGTTTTCTGTGTTATTTTATTTAAAGCTACAATATGGAATATTTTATATAATTAATCAGATGAACAAATCAGCTGACACGTTTCGCTACTTTCTACAGACACACGTATTGTTATTTATGGTCATTTATATCTATGTGTGTCTATATGAGGCAGCCATGTATAAAGGGTAGTGTAAAAAAAGGCAATCCTAACCCCATAGCTTGGAAAAAAAAAAATTAAGGGGATGGGAAACAGGTTAGAAAGGAAATCTTTTATTGAATTACCTGAGTGGCTGCATGTTATTAAGAACAACTAAGAATAAGAGGGTCTTCTATTTTGAGAGGCAACAATCCAATTTCATTTTGCAGCGAGGTTATTGTATTTCCTTAATAATTCATGGCTTGCAAAAGGCACCCACAACAGAGATACTTTCTCAGCACATACACATATCTGTCTGGAATCAAGGTTAATTTTATTGTTGACTAAAGCCTATATTACATTCCCAATTATGTGACTGGCTGGAAGGCAATGATTGTGTCACGTCCAGCATTTCTTTTCTCATGGCTCCTTTGAATGCCACCTGGACACTGAAAACACCGCTGTAAAAGGTTTCCATCCTATTAGTGCAAAGGAAGGTTATCACTCATGCTTCAGCCTGTCATCTCACCGTGCCTTTTTATTACTCAGTTCATTCGCATCCATCTAGCTGCATTAATTAACCTTTTCAGTTTTGGGGCATGGCTTTCACTTACAAAGCCTCATGTAGCAGACTTCTAAAGACCACCTTGATTTTGTTAAAGAAAGAAACAGCCATGAAAATGTTGGGCAGGATGGAATAATTCAGATACGAATTTTCTGCAAATAAGGTTATACCATGAAAAATATTTGTTTAGGGCATTTGTATTTCCAACACGAGCAACTGATCACAGAACAGCAACCTCTGACTTTTTAAATACAAATCTCAGTAGCTTTTCTCAGTGGAAGAAATGACAGAAACGGGGTAATAGTGTTTTACTCTTGGGTATATTTATCACCAGCACTCATAAAGAGTCAGTAACACATTAGCACAGATAAAGCCACAATACAAGGGAGGAAGTCACAGACTGAATGTTTTAGGGATGATTGCTTCAGTCGCAATTGCTACGGACGTCAAAGTTTTCAGCATGAGCGTCCTATTTCACTTTATTTTAATATTATCAGTTACATGCATCGAGTTGATAAGACAGAAGAAAAAACAACGCCCACCACCTCAGCACTGACACTCATACAGCGACCCTGAAACAGTCAAAAATAAAGTAGTTTTATTCTTGTCACTTGAAGTTCAGTCTAAGGCAGAGGTGCAGTTCAGAGCTCTGAAGAAGCCAGTCTTTGGGGTTTAGCGTCACCACCGTTAAGCACAGTCCTCACTGAAAAGGGGAAGGCAAGCGCTGCCTGGCCCCGCACGGGCTGCTGCTGCAGTCTAGCTGTCTTTATCAGAGTGAATTATGGCAAAGGCCCCGATTTCTCTCCCCCTCTACACACAACCTGTCACTTTATTAACTTTGAGCTCCCTGTTGTGGCCCATTTCACAACTTCTCTGAGATCCACGTATGATGCCAAAGTTCAATACTGAAAATGTAAACTTATCAGACCATGGCCTGCAATTGGACTGGTAGAAAATTGATTTCTAGCTCAGTAACTCCACTGAACTGCAGGATTTTTTTTTTCTCCTATCAAATCTTTTTATTCCTGCAAAATAGATGACCCCCTAAAAACAAATAATTACCATGGCTGATTTGTCATACTTAAAACAGTATTCTACCCTTATTTGAGATCATTTAATAAAGACCAGATTTTGACAACGGCAGATTTTTCAAGCGCTACAAACCAGAAAAATAACCTGGACACTGACTCGCGTGCTAGAGAAACTCCCCACACGACAGCTCCGCAAACCTGACTTGGTCTGACCTCCGAGCAGAATTTGATTAAGCAACTTTGCAACGGGAAATTGGATTTGGTTTCAACTACAGACTATATTGATGTCCTCAGTGAAGAACAGATATAAAAATAAAATCAGAAAGACTTATCTTTTTTAAGCCATATTGCAGCATTTAATGAAAAATGCATTCACTGATCTCTCACAAACATTTTAGGCAGCAAAATGCACTGTCAGTATTAATCATGACTTATTTCCATTATGAAAACAGATATTTTCTTCAGTAACGGGAAGCCTAGCTATCATTAGCTGTACACGTATTCATGTTGATGTAGGTTTATCTGTCAAAGAGTTGTATGCTTCATTTCTTTCCTTTTACTTCCTCAAGGAGTCTATACAGCCTTCCTGTTTCTAAAACAAATTACTATTTTCTCCTAAGTTGATTTTGAAGAAGATACGAGCATCCAGCAAAAAAGAAAACACTGAAAGCTTTCAAAATGATTGCTTTACTTGGGAAGTCTCCAGCTATAATGAAGATGCTTTTTCAAAACTAGGATGTTATGCATAGAAATAATACCTTTCACTGATACCGGCAAAGCCCATTATGGATGGGAACACAAAGCACAATGTTTCTTCTGGCAGCGTCAATAAATAAGGCATGTAACACAACAAATACTTTATAGGACTTAGGCAGATAAAAGATAAACTTTGTAATTAAAATCCCTTGCTGCCTTGCTTCTAATTAAGGCATTGATACTGTCAGAGGACAAAAACATTACTGCCTTAAAGTGTTTTTCATTTATAAAAACTAGTTCTTAAGTACTGATCTTAACAAGATCATATTAGCGCTATTTATACATACACACATATACATAAATATACACATGCATTTTTTATATATATATATGTATGTATGTATGTATGTATGTATGTATGTATGTGTGAAGTATAGCCATAACAGTCTTATGGTCTGGTTTAAAAAATAAACCCAACCAGCCAGCCCCCTGTCCCAAACCCCAGCCGTGGCTTCTGCAATGTGGAAAGACACCCAAGCCTTCAAAAACTCTGATGTGAGCTGCACCATGGAAATCAGATGTTTAGGGATGTCTTCCTAACTGAATCAGGACTTTCCTCCATAACTGATCAACACTGGCTGCATTTATTATAAAACTTTAATGGGTATATTTCAAAGAAGCTGAATAAATCTTACGGATTTTAAAAGTCACCTGGTTAAACCTCACAACTTGCCTTTAAAGTCTCTCTGTAAAAATTCACATGTAGGATCACAGCAGTCAAAAAGGTACTGAAGGCAACAATAAAAAAAGATCACACACCTAACTGTTTCATCCCGAGGTTCAGATCCTGGCAGAGAACACGTTGGGTTTTAACGATGAAGCATCATCTACCCACGAAGCGCCAGCCTTACCGTGTAATTGCGTGTGAGAACCACATCGGTGCCGTCTTTCAAATAATGTGTTTCTGTGAAGCCGCTGGCTAACAGGCCCCTGAAAAAAACAGAGCACACATACTATTAAGGCCACATCACCTTGACTTTGTCCTTCAGCGGTTCCGTTTGAGAGAGCGATCAAAGCCAAACATTAACAATACAATGGCTACCGGGGTTGTGTGCGAAATAAGGAAAAATATGACTCCAAATACTGACGCTGCAGCACATGGACGCTTCCTTCGTTAATTGTGAAAAGGCTACAGCTTTCCAGACTGCTCTCTCTGCCAAATGAGGACTGCATGCCAACACATCTCAGTATTGAATCTCCCATGTAATTTTCAACACGTTTTGCATTAAATTTGAAATCTAGACATTTGAAGTATTTTTAAGTAATGGTGGTTTTTGCAAAAGGAAAACATTCTCCCTCTGTTACTTATTTTACTATATAACGTGCTGTATTCATCAGCAAGTGACCACCCAAAGACTTGTTTAGCTCTTGGTAAATGAAACAAACTTCCATTGACACTCAATGAAAAACACCACAAGAACATTACAGAAGTTGGAGTACTGGATTTATTCTGATCATCTGAAAAAGATATTCACAAATGGAAATCTAACGACTTGAAATGATGTATCAGGAGACGGTGAAAGACCACGTCTCTGATGAGGCATTTCGTTCTCATTCTCTCCACACTCCCCCTCCTGCCTTTGGCGATGATATAAAAAATTTTGACTTGCAATTACCATTTTCCGGAAATCTCCAGAGAGAGGCATGTGTGTGACAACTGTGCAAACTTTTCTTTTTGTAGTAAACTCATGGAATAGGGAAAG